GTGGCCCTCGTCCTCCTGGCATACTGGCTGGATCCGAAACCACCGTTCTGCAATGAGGCTTTCGATGTCATTGAACTATTTGCAGGGCGGGCACGGATTACAAGGTTGGCCCAGGCTGCAGGGTATCAGGCTGTAGCTGCTGATCAAAAGTACGATCCGCATGAGACGTCGTCCCTGCACATGAATGAGAGCTCTGGCTTCGTGTTTCCCAGCTACACATTATGTTCAGCTTCAGGTGCCACACATGCAGTGTATGTATACATGTATACATGATTCTCACTGCTGCCGAGGTTGGCCGTCCTGATGATTCTCAGTGGCTCCGCTCAAGGGGCGATTGCCATCCTCGGCATCGAGTGCAGCACGTTCGTCGGGATAAACAAAGGCAGCAGTAAGCGGTCGGAGCTACTTCCGTGGGGTGATTGGGAGGTTGATTCAGTCTCCGATGCGAACGAGGCAACATCCAGGACAATGCTTTCGAACCCTAATAAAGTCCTAAACCATATAACCCTATATATAATCCAAATTATATACACCCTTTAAACCACTACGGAGCCCTGTTCTTCCCGTGGAGCAAGTACCCCAACAACTCAACTAAATACATATAAAACCTTAATATTATAAAGTGACCCTTTCCTAAACCCTAAACCAGGAAACCCTTTACGGAAACCCGATCTTAGTCAGGTGGGGCGAATCGAGAGGTCGCCGTAGATCGCTGTACAAACCAGTAGGTCAATAACTATGGGTTTAGGGTTGCCCTAAACCTCAAACCCTAAACCCCTAAACCCTAAACCTCTAAACCCCTAAACCCTAAACCCTTAACCCTAAACCCCTAAAGCCNNTTCCGAAAATTTAGAGGCCTGGGCTCTAAGGACCCAGGCCTCTAAATTTTCCGAAATTTTAGGGACCTGGGCCGTCCATAACGAAAACGCCGAAACAACCTCTGCGACATCCTCATCCAAAAGGTCCTGCTGAAGAATCCTAAACCCTAAACAAACCCTAAACCCTAACCCCTAAAACCCTAAAACCCTAAACCCCTAAACCCTAAACCCTTTGCTTGCTTCGAGACCCGGAAAACCGGACACCCTGAGAGTCATTCAACTCTGAGCTCCTAAAACCTTAACCCCCCCCCGGCTGCCCAAGCATCTTCCACAAAGGCTCCCTTTATATAGTATAGATACTTTGGCTTTAAAGGGGTCCCTAGATCTATATATAGGAAAGACCAATAATCTTCGAAACTGGGGCCTGTAACCCTTCCCTCCCAGGACCTGTCTACTCCTGGTCCTGCTGTCCGTTCTCGGCCACCACTTCTTCGTGGAGAATCCGGGGAGCTCGGTGCTGGGCTACTATCCCCGGTTTTCTTGGGTGTCTTCTGTGCTGAAAGAACATGGTGTTCCTGCAACTGGTCTTTGAATTTCTTGTAGTCTCGAGATATGCATTGACAGGATGGTAGGATTCGTATTAAAGCCTATGCTTCCTAAGGTATACATCCAGAAGTTCTATATGTGCCATCATGGACACCGGAACCCGAAGAAAACCTTGTTGTGGTCTACATCGCCCTATATTCGGGTCTTCGACTGTGGAAAGCCAGTTGGGGAGCAACGTGTGGCAGGCAAGAAGCTCAGCAAGAAATACTTCGATCGCTTTGGAAAGCAAAAGTGGCATGGCACCAAAGACCTCAAAGCCAGTGGGCTGCCAGGCTCATTAAATGTACACAAATTTAAGTAGGCAGTGCCCAAATTACGTAGGATCCATCTGTTTACAAAGCCTAGGATCTATCCTCCTCTCTTCGCCCGAAAGATGGTGGATTTGCTGGAACCCTGCCGAGAACAGCCAGGACCTTCTGTGCAGGCGGCTACAGTGATGTCTATCGTATATATCCTATAAACCCTATAACCCTAGAAACCCCCCCTCTGTAAACCCTAAACCCGAAAACCCCATCGAGCCCAGCTGCTGCAGGTGGCCATCCCGAACTCCGACAAGCCTCTCCAAGATGTCTTTAATGAGCTGTCCTGGGATGAAACAGACTGGGAAGAAGCCAATCTGGGCCAGGCTGTCTTGTATATGAGAACGGCACGGAATGTGAAGGTTCCTAGGGAGTTCAAGCAGTTAATTCACAAGTACCGCTTTCCTCGGGACCTGCCTTTCCTGGAACCGCACCAGGGCTCTGCAGAATGGTGATCTCTAGACTTCAGGGCCCTCGCTAGTGTACACAGAACCAGCTTTGCAACCCTGTGTTGGGCTAGGCAGGGCTTGGCTGGGCTCGGTTTTGACAAAATAGCTGCCTGGTTGGGGCTCGATTTTGTGATTTGCGGGGTTCAACAGGCACTGGTGCGGGAAAACAGGCCCCGAAACGATTGCGGAAACTGGCGGCGAGATGCCGGAAATTGGCGGGCAAATGCCGGAAATTGGCGGACAGCACCTACGCTACCATTTTCATGCTCCCTCGACGTGTGTGCCATCAGGTTCGGATCGGCTTAAGCTACCTCCCCAAATGGAGCCCGGCAGGTCTACTAGCACGGTGGGCCAGTCCAGGGAATCCCTGGACCGGGGCGCCAACATCCTCCTAGGTATCGCAAAGCATGGTGTGGTGAAGAAAGAAGATGATGGCGATGAGCAGGAAATCTTGAAGCAAATCGAGGCTAGGTACACAACCCCTTTAGAGAAGCAAGCCACGCATACATTTGCCCAGGCTCTCAAAAAGAAGCACGCCCTCCTGCAGGAAGCGAAGGCTTCACCTGGGTTGCATGATGTATTGCAGTTCTTGTGGATTCATTTGGATTCAAGACCAACCCTAAACCCAATATAAACCCTAAACTTCCTATGGTTGATCAGTTAACTCGCAAGTATCCCACACACAGGCACACATGCACACGCAGACACACACACACAGACAGACACACACACACACAAACAAACAAACAACACGCAAGCAAACAAACAAACAAACAAACAAAAACAATCAAACACACAAACAGAGACACACACACACACACGCGCGCACACGTGTGCACGCACAGAGGCACAGACGCACGGACGCACACACGCAGAAACAAACACACGCACGCCCACGTGCACACACAGTACCCTAAGTGGAGTTACCCTATATAATTATATCATACCCGACTTGCTAAGTCCCCTGGGCCTCCAAGCGGGTGTCAATAGACCAAGCTGTACAGCTTAGGGTTCAAACTTTGGGGTTCAGCTGTACAGTTTAGGGTTTAGAGTTTGGGGTTTAGGTTTCTGTGCTGACTTTTTATGCATGATATACTCGTGCGATAGATCTATTTGTTGCTATTGCTTGCTGCTACTGCTTGCATGGTGGTGTACCAGCAGTAAGCCGTGTAAACCCTAGCTAGACCCCCCAGCTACACCCTGGAGTCTACAACACCGTACCAAGCGAGTCTAACGCCGCATGTTTGTTTTCTTAAACCCAGATCGAACCCCCCAGGGTTCCTATACAATCGCAGTCTGAAGTCGGGCTGATCGAGGTTCTATATAATCCCTGAACCCTATAAATAAATATATTATATACACCATATATATATATTAAACCTTAAGTCCACAATGCCCCTGACAGGGAACCGTAGCCGCATGCACAAAAGTCCACCCTCGACCGAAAATGTCTCCGACCTTGGGTATATAATTATACCATAAAGATTCATATCCTAGCATCATGACTAACACAGCTCATAAGCTAGATCTAGAGTACTAAACCCTGTATATAATAATCCTTTCCTAGGCCTATTTCGATCCTCCTTTAAGTGCATCTACAGGAAGCCGCTGCTGACCATGCTGCTCGAGGACATCAGGAAGGCTCGCTGGACCTTGGATTCGTTCTAATGATCGATGCATACATGTGTCGCGGATTCTGTGCTTTATATATATATATGCACCTGTGAGGGGAGGCGGCAGAAGAAGCACCTAGCAAGCCAGAGGACAAAGCTGAGTCAGAGCGACGGGCCCAAGAAAGTGCAGAGGCAGAGGCAAATGCCGATGTTCTTTTAGCACAGGCGGAGTCGGAGCGACAGGCGAGAGCAAAGGCAGAGGCAGATCAACTAGCCGTGGAAAGGGCCAAGCTTCTTCTGGCAGAGCAACAGGCAGAGCAAGCACAACTGGTAGAGGAAAGGGCTCAGGCTCTTCGACGGGTGGAGGAGGAGTCAGAGGGCCGGGCAAAGGAGCAAGCTAAGCTTCTTCGCTTGGCACAGGAAAAAGCAGAGACAGAGCGAGTGATGAAGGAAAGGGCTGAGGTTCTTCTGGCAGAGCAAAAGGCAGAGAGAGAGAGGATGATCAAGGAACAGGCCGAGGTTCTCAAGGAGGTGGAAAGGCAAAAGGCAAAGTCAGACCGATTGGCCAAGGAAAGGGCCGATGCCGAGGATCTTCGGAAGGAACAGGAAAAGGCAGAGACAGAGCGACTCATGAAGGAAAGGGCTGAGCAAACAATGGCACAGGAAAATGCTGAGGCTCTTCGACGGGCACAGACACGTGCAGCAACAGTAGCTGAAATAGAGGCACACAAGGCCAAAAAGGAGGAGCTGAAGAAAGCGCAAGCAAGGCTGTCCCAACTTCAGGCAGAGCTTCAGACCACCCTGCAGGAGACAGATGCTATCATGCAGACTCAGCAAGCACCCCTGATGCCAGGCCTGACACTCAAGCCTGAACTCACGAGCCCCGATGGCATCCCAACGACCCCAACAGAACAACTGTCTCCACTGGCAGTATCGAGCCAAGATGCCCAAGACCCCTGGCCTGCTCGCAGCCTGTTTCAATCCCCGACGCCACCTACGATGCCGCCTCCGACCCCGCCTCCGACACCACCTCCAGGCCAGATCAGCCAACCGACACCCACCCAGAGAGCCACAGCCGCAAAATCGATTTCCCCCCCCACGCCTCCACCAAGAGTTGAGGTAGCAGCAGCGGCAGTGACAGCACAGCCAAAGACAAAGGCCCCCGCACCTTGCAAAGCCCCGCCTCCTACTCCAGGTGCCATTACCAAACGCATCATGAGGTGCATGGAACCGACCATCAAGGGGGTGTACAGGGTGGCAAAAAGCATCAGGGACCAGTTTGCGGGTGGTGGCGAGGGAAAAGAGAAAGTCATCACGCTGTTTGCGGCCTGCGACAACAATCCGGACAGAACCGTGTTGCATGTATAGTGTAATTTAATTGTACCCCTAAACCCTAAGCCCTAGACCCTAAACTATTAAACTATAGATTTATATAACCCACCCCTGAAAGGAGATTTTCATCAGCAAGTTCTCCATTGAGCGGGAGAAACAGCTCGAGTTGGAGACGCAGGTTGATTTTGAATTCCTTACCAAGCAGCAGATGTCCGAGGATCAGGGTATGACCAAGCAACCCAGAAGCAGTATTTCATAAAGCACTGCCAAATTCCCTCAACCCCTGAAGTATACACCACGGCCTACGCAATTATAATATAGATTAATTTCTATAGAACGCTTCAATACTTTATATTATAAGTGCCCCTTGTATTCTACGATGGTTAAATCACCCGAATGCTTAGCTAAGGGAGGAGATCGATGAGTGTGTTCAGAAGGCGCAGAAGGACCCCACGCGCAAAATCCGGTGCCATAGTTGCAAACCAGTAGTGAAACACATGCATCAACAAAGATTGCTATCCATCCGAGGAAGCACCCCTACAAGGTTGGCCACCTGACCTACTATTGCGAGATCAAAGTGAAAGGCCACAACAGGTTCCCTATCTGCACACATGCAGGTGTCAAACCCTCTGTGCGAATAGACATCTGCAGACTCTAGATATTCACAACCTGAGGAAGAGTGATCGGGTGACAATGACCGAGAGGATGGAGACTGAAGCCTTTGGGGCTTCTCTAGACATGGAGGTTGACTTGGAGGAAGCCCTCGATCAAAGCTCAAGCTGCCCTTTTGCAATTTAGTTGCTGTGCCGCCGCAATCGCCACTGCATGGCCGCTGTTCATACCTTTGCTACGGTTGAGCAATTAAGGTTCGAGGCCCGAGACCCTCCAGGACAACTCCGATGGTCTCGTCGCTTCGGGACCTTTGAATGAGGACCTGAATAAGCTCCTCAAGAAGTTGGGCTACCCAGAAGTGCATGATACCTCGAAGCCGTCAACATTGGTCGACAAGGCTGTTCTAGCTTGCACTCGGCGGTTGAAGAAACTATGGGAGATGCTTCCAGTACGAACGGATGATGATAGCCAACCACAGCCGCCACCCCCGCCAACACCTAGTGACGACCTCCAAGAGAAGCCTTTTGTTCGGCATTCAGTGTCCATCATGCTATGTCACATGCAATATATTTCACCGATTGCAACTACATTAATCTCTAGAATGCCAAGGATGTATGCGAAGATCCGTGCGGTCTACAGTGACGTGGATGCTTGCTGCGAAAAGATGCAAGCCTTGAAGGCTGAAGGTGTGCTGGATGGCTACACTGATCAGCTGCTGGGCTGCTTAAGTCGGGAACCCACAAGTCCGAACGAGCAACATAATGACACACAATGAAACTTTTGATGTAAACCCAGATCCCTGTAGTCTCGAATCTTTTTCGGGTTCATATACAGGGGTTCTATAAGTTTGGGGTATATATGACAAATATAGAGTGTATATACACACTCTATATATATATATACCATGTGTATATTATATATATATACTATATTTATATGATATATATATATAGAGAGAGAGATTTTGTATTTATATATCAACCATTATATATATTATATTCAATACATTAATTAATTTACTACACCCCGAAAGGACTGACGAGAGTAGAATCAAACTCGTGACCGGGCTAGTGAACTTAAGTAACATTATGCTCCGGCCGACAATTATAGATCCCATATAAAGCCCTGTAATCGGTTCGGAAGGCACTCTTCTCTAGGGACATTAACTTAGTATATATGTTGCTGAGGATGGAAAATGCCATCGATGTGGAGCTGGGTAAATGCCGCAGGCTGAACCGTGGCTGCAAGCTCAACCAATCATGTCATGTGTCCGTTTGGAATCAATCTGTGTGCTGTCATGCGATACATGGTCACCCCGAGGCTCATCACATCCTCCGAGTTGGAGACCCGTGCCAGGACCGCTAGGATTAGGGTTTAGGGTTAGGGTTTAGGGTTAGGGTTTAGGGCTTTCTAGGGCTTAGGATTTAGGGTTTTCATTGGGAGTATACTCGAACAATTCTATCGAATATCCTTGCCAGGGCTATCCTCGCGACCCCGAAGGTGAAGTCCGAAGCCAGGAAGGCAGCCCCCAAGGCAAATCCTAAGAGAGTCAAGGCTCCTCCTCCGCAAGAGCAGTCCAAGAGGGCGAAGAAGAGCTGAGTGCCAGGGTCGTTTCCAGAGATCCTTTCTCGAGAGTTGCAGTGATCTACACATGGGCTGGCTTGGCACTTCGAAGATAGCCCTTCCCCGTAGTTATATACAGTATACACACCATAATCCTGTAAAGGACCCTAGCTTGGGTGAGGCTGGCCTCATGCGAAGGATTCACTGCAGGGCCTCGTGAGTTTTGAGCGCGGCAGCAGGGGCCACGTGGGCTGGCTTGCTCCAATCCTGTTCATCGTCTTATCATTTTACCTGTTTTCAAGCATTCCCTATATGTCAGTCCGATAATCATGCCAAATCAAGCAAGCGAGTATAAAGCCCGATTTGTGCAGCAGCTGAACCACGCACCGTTCGAAAAGCTTAGCTGCATGTTTATGTGCACACTGTGTGTGATCCCTATAGCACGACCTGCTTAGGCTATGAAATCCTGAAGTGGCATGGCAGGTGACCCCGAACCGAGCCACACTCTTCGTGCTCTGGCTGAGCGAGTGGCCGATGGAGTGCATGTCTCGGATCCCGCCAATCCGATTCCGAAATAATCCCCCCTAAGCTAGACAAGAACCCGAACAGAATCCTAGTCTCCGAAATACCGTGTAAACCAAAAGGATTAAGCGATCCTATAAGCTCATGATCTGCAATGTAAGAAAAGGAAGGGCCCCCGAAGCCGGATGTGTAAACCCCAACAGAGCAAATCGTATTGATAGTCCGAACAATAGTCGAGCCCCCGAAGCCCATGCAAGCCCCAAATATAGATTAATCCAGACATATACCTATAAAAAGTCTGGCTTCGTGAAACTCAATCTACATAGGCCAAGTATAACTAGCTTCAAGACTTTATATATATCTATTATAATCTATAGAAAATAGGCTAGCTAGGTCCAGGGTGCCGCACAAAGCTCTAGAGTAGATTAACCAGAATAACACCAATTCCTAGAGATGATCGACCTAAAATCAGGAAGCTTAATTTTAGGGTTTAGGGTTTAGGGTTTAGGGTCCATCGAAGCAGATATAGTCGAGTCTTAGACCTCAAACACCCGATTTAATTCACCCACAACCCAGGCTCCCGCTTGTGTGATCGGCGAGATTGCTGAAGCGGTAGTTGCTGATGGTAGTGCTACTCAGAACATACGGGAGGCCGCGAAAGTGGACAAGAGCCATAGTGAACGGAATGCACACAGGCTGTTCAATAGATATGGCTTGGCCCTCCGGGTTCCAATCTCGTTTCTGGATGTGCCGTCGAGCAACTGCGAGGACAGCATAACGATTCCGCACTTGAAGATCACAGATTTCCTGAAGCTTTTGCTTAACAGCTTCGAAGAAGTCTTGTTTGGGGGGCTGAAGGCGGATTCCGATGCTGCCCGAGATCTTTGCAGTACGTTTTGGAGCCGTTATCAGAAACATCATCCGGAACACGTGATCTATAGCGAAGTTGATGCAAAGGATAGATCCATGTGTATCCCAGTTCTGGTTCACGGCGACAAGGGCAGAACATTACAGAAATCCCCGATCTTTGTCATGAGCTTTGAACTTGTTTGGGGGCTTCCGCTAGACATGCTAAAGAAGGTTGCCTATGATACTCGTCGCAACACACGGCATGACATGCATGATGGGCATCTGAAATGGTCTTGTGGCCGCCGTGCAGCCGGGAAGCGGAGCTTCAGTCAGATGTGCTTCGATAGTTGCACTGTTCATGATCCTGCTGTTCGTCTGAACCCAAGAAAGAAAGGCAATGCCCAACGCCACAACAATCGTGGGCACAGTTACCTGAGCCGCTTCCTGATTGCAGCAATCCCTTCGAAAGTTTACAACAAGAATGAATCCGTTCTTCCATCCTTGTTGAAGCAAGCAGCTGTGGATCTGCAAGACTGTTTCCAGCATGGCCTCGTGCACGAGAAATCAGGTACACGGTACCGGTTTGTGTTCTTGGGGGCTAAAGGTGACGCCGAGTGGCATTGTGAGGCAGGGTGCTTTACACGCTCGTACCATCGAAGTGGCACAGTCCATGCTGCTCCTATTTGCCCGCTCTGTGATGCTGGCGCCGAAGGCTTAAGCTACACAGATGTATCTGATGCGCCCAAGTGGCTGGGCACCGTAGGATCATCAGTGCCATGGGAAAGCACGCCGCCACTCAATCTGGCCCCGTTCTCTACTACCTTTCCAGCCAACCTCTACAAGTATGATCCTTTTCATGTTTTGAAATTCGGAATATTCCGTGATGCTGTTGGGAGCACGATAGTGAGATTGGCACTGATGGGCTATTTTGACTTTTCGGTGGGGGAGCCCAAGAACATAACTCAACGTCTCATCAGGGGGTTCTCACTCTACAAGTTGTGGTGCTTGGCTTCCGGCAAGAATCCTTCGTTGAGATGCTTTACAAAGGCGAACCTGAAGTTCGAGACCTCTTCCAAGTTTGCTTGGGTAAACTGTAAAGGAAGCGAGGTCGTCATGCTGATGCAATGGCTAGACTTCCTTGTGCCCAAGCATGTGGCTGAGCCAAAGCAGGCATCCGATCTGGTATTCTTGCGAGCAGTAGCCCAGATGATCCGTGGGGGTTTGGACTATGTCGGAATCATGCACAGTCACGGCATTTGGCTCCCGTTGAACTGTGGCAAGGTTCAGCTACATGCGGGTTTGGCTTTCGCTAGAGGGTACGCCTTCCTAGCTCAGCACCTCATGGATTGTCAAACCGCAGGGTTCCGTTTGAGACCGAAATTGCACTACTTTATGCACTTATTGATGCCCTTGAAGTCCCAGATAGACAACGACGATCCATGGGTTCTCAACCAAGCCATACACCTTTGCGAGGCAAATGAGGATTTCATAGGCCGGCTAGCTAGGGTTTCGAGGAGAGTTCATCCTTCCCAAGCTTCGCTCCGAACGACGCAAAGGTACTTGGTGAAGGTTCGTTTACTTCTTGAAAGGCTCCTCAAGTAGTTCCCTAGCTTATATATCAATTGCTATAAGCTTCGTTTAGGGGTTTAAGATTTAAGCTTCAGGGTTCTTTAACATCCTTTAGGAAGCAGGTCTGCAATGAGGAGTTTTCGCAGAAACTTGCTTGGAGCACGCTGTCCTGAAGAGTGAAAACAAGTGGGAAGATTACGTTTTTTGCGAGAACGAGCATTTAGCCGATTACCTTTTTTCAGAAGGATTGCGCTTTTGGCAAACAATGCCTTTTTTTCATGCACTTAGGGATTGTGCCTGAAATTATGGGGGGGGCGGGTTGTCCAGGTATCTATAATAGGGTCTATAGGGTTTAGGGTTTGAGGTTTCTAGGAGAGCCGGGCCTTCGCGGCGCCCCAGGGCTGGCCTCGGCCCACTTTTTTTTCGAGCCCACGGCTGCGGATGCGGCAGTTGGGGGTGCTGTAGGCGCTGCAAGGGCTTAGGGTTTCTAGAATGCAAGCAGTATGCGGTAACATTGCACGCTTTGCTTGAAAGAGGATTCTGGAGGATCTTTTTGCTTTTGCACGGTTCTGGGCTCTATCTGTTGCATGCACTCATATAAGAGCATCTGTTGCCTCGCAAATCATGCTTCGCATGCTCAGCAAAACTGCCTATAATGGATGACTCATTTGAAACACGATGGTGTGCATCCTGGAAGTCGGTGGCACTTCGAGCAGCCCGCTGGACGGGCTTCTAAACGTTCTTCCCAAGTCATGCCCTTCACAGCCTGCCTGCTCGCAGGGGCTGCAGCTGCGGGCCGCTGCAGTACTGCAGCGGCCGGTCGCTTCAAAGCCGCTTTGCCCTTCGCCTTGGCTCTCGGGGGGCTTGCCAGGACAACAGGCTTCTCGTGATCGGAGACCGCAGCCTCCTCGTCGGCCTCCGAAGCTTCCTTGCGAGCACAAGGTCTTTTCATCGGCCTCTGGGAAGCCCCTGAAGGCTGCTTCGCTGCGGCAGGTCTCTTCCTCGGTCCCGCTGCCTCGTCAGACTGACCGGACAGAGCTTTCTGCAGGCGCAAAACATGACCCTCGCCGGTTTCTACGTCCGCCTGCTCCTCCACAACCCTGCCTTCGTCGATCTGCTCTTCCTTCGCTTCGTCGGTCGGCGGCTCCTCGCAAGGCCGGTCCTGGATTGCCAGAAGACGATCGCGGTCCAGGATCGCAGGAGGCTGCTGCGCTGGGCGAGGAGCTGGTGCAGGCCATGCCGGCCCCGACCCGCTGCTTTGGGACTGCAGGCGGTGCACGAAAGCGCCTAAGGCGCCCAAAACCGGGTCCACTTCTTTCTCCGGCTTCTTCAGGTGCGCACTAGTCTTCCGAAGCGGAACTTTGCGAGAAGCAAAAAAAAGATGCTCCACCGTGATTCTGCCAGCCGACGGGCCCTCCGTCGCAAACACGGCCTGGGTCACCTGCACCGGCAACGCCGCCGGATTGGAGGGCAGCACCTGCAAGTGAAACGCAGGCTCTCTGTGAGCACTTAGCAGGCGGCGAGCTGCTGGCTTAAAAGTTTCCAACTCCGCTTGGAAGCTTTCCGGGTCTGGCAGCTGCATCCCGAGGAAGATGTAGCAGAAGACGAGGAGATTGCCCAGAGTAGGTTCTGTAGGATGTCGCAAGCCAAGGGCCGCGAGGTACCTCAGTACTTTCACGGAAACCTGGTCTATGCTGCCACATCTCTCCAACTCCGCCCATTGTGTCTGCGTCAGAAAGACAACAAACATAGTAAAGTCTTGCAGCTGTCCTTTCCTCATGACTTCCGTGCTCGGGAGCGCAGCTACAGCTGCCAGCACCTGGTCCACCTGCGGCTTCGTCCAAAGCGTGCTGTCCAGCGCCTCGCAGATGTGGCGAGCCTCATCCGCGTTGCAACCCGACGTCTTGCCCAGCACCGCCTTGAGGAGGACGTGCTGCTTCTGCTGCAGCTGGTCGAAGTTCTGCAACTGACGCACTTGCTTCAGGAACCCCTGCGAGGCCTTGACTTGTCTCAAAACGGCCGTCATCCTGGCAAAAACTTTAAAGCTCTTGAGCCAAAAGATGCCACGGATTCCTACATTTATTAGAAACCTGGCTAAAACCACTGAAAACCTATCCAAATGATACCAACCAGTCTTGTCCGGGAAGCCAAATTATATGCATGTTTTGGCATGTCTAACTTTAAAACCTTCAAAACGATGAAAAACATAACTCATTCTAACCCCCTTCTAACTTTTTTGTGCCGTGACCTAACTACCTTATAACTCCCGCTAACCCCCAGCTAACTTTCACAAAGTTAGCTAGGGGTTAGAAGGACTTATAACCGGGTTAGAACCGGGTTATTCCCTGGTTATAACATGGTTATAACCCGGGGCTAACTGAGGGAACCGCTGTGT